CATTTCACAGGTGAGTGTCATCAGAAAAATAGGCGGCTATCGTATATTATTATTCCAACCCTATGATAAAAGTGATGCAGATCAGACACGTGACATAGTACATCAACGTTGACTGTAAAAATCTCGCGAACATAATATCGATCGTTTGTGACTAGAAACATTTGCCTCGAAAGTTATTCGATAAAACAGAAGGTTGAATGAGACTACACGAATAAATAAGCACTCCTTCTACGCTCCTCCGAAATGCGTGTTCATTTAGAAAATTCGCTTCTGAGAATAAACGTAACACAACGCACTTTCATAGCGGTCTGATATAATTATCACATGCTCCAGACCGTGTTCGACAATTTTAACCGGGTAAGTAGCTCTTATAATTGAACTGTTGAGTACGCTTTGTCTTAATCGCGAAGCCCTCAATTTCACAGGTTCGTAAGCCATTGATAATGATGAGGAATTCAATAGCTGTTAACTGCATATGAGGAGCTTTGCATGAATAGAAGCGGTAAACAGCACTGCTGTTGCTCCAATCACTTCCACGCCTGATCTGCTGAGATCTTATGTGGTTCGTCATTTTCAGTCACAGAATCAGGGATGACAGTTTCCTTCAAGTTATGAATCATGAAAATACAAAATCGTACACGTAATCGTTCGCTTGCTCGCTCTGCTCACTCAAAAAATACAAGCATGAACGCATCACCCTAAGTGGCGTTCGTCAAATAGGCAATAACATCGCTTATGTACATATATTTCTCCAACCTTTCTTCCTTCTTGCCCTATTTTTGACCGAAACTCAAATCTTACACTCGTCACACACCAACCACCTCCAATATCCCCAAATATTACTTGCACTACTTTTTTTCACCGATAGCTCGGGTCTGTATTTTCGTCCACCAGCCAATCACCAAATCCGGAATCCAAACTTTTGATTTCTCCAGTCGTGAATTTCAGCTGATGTTTTAATCACCGTTGTGCTGTTTATCAATAACCCAACAGTAGGGACTCATTGATGTTTGATTCCCTATTTTCGAACATCGGGTTATTGTTTCTTACGCACGGCATCTACCATACACCCATTTCAGGAGATTTTATTGATTACAATCGGGATTGGTTCATTCACTCATCAGACACTTCGATTGTGGGGCGCGAAGACGGACCTGTGCTAACTTTTTGACCCCCTCCATTTGTATCCTGGATCTAGCCCCTTATCTTACCTAAATCGGTGATCTTACTTGCACTTCTGTTCCTTCTTCTTTCTCAGACATCTCAGCACTTCCCCCCAACTGACTCATCTGACCGCCGTATCATTTCCTGTTCCACCAATTTCATTAGCCCGATCCTCCACAAACCTCGAGAAACACATTTTGAAGCTGCAGATTTGCCAATTAGACAGTTTTTACGGTCTCCTAGCTCCCCATCCTTTGGATGGTTGCTGCTTTGATTCAGATATTTCCGCTTCATTTTCTAACCTGCATGAAATTGTTCTTCAAGTTACATGTACTGTCTGAATGTTTTATCTCTTTTGTTAACGTTCTTGACTCTATTCACCCGAACCTCAGTGTATCTCACGAAGAAGAACGCGACAACAGATTGTCCTTTCTAGATATTCTATTGACCAGGCGTCAAGATGGGACTTTACAGCGCAGAATCCACCGAAAAGCAACGTGGGGTGAACGTTATTTACAATTGTCCAGCTTCGCCTCAGTGGCTTACAAACGTGGCTTGGTCAGAACCCTCTTCAACAGAACCCAGACAATCTGTACAGAAGATCAAATACAGAACGAACAGGAGTTCATGAAAAGAACGCTGCTGGCTAACGGTTATCCGGAGAACTTTATCAGAAAACATCAGAGGCCGAGACTTGTGCGCGAGAAAACAATGAACGTGGAAAAGAAGCAAGTTTTTATCACTTTGCCTTTTAAAGGAGATCAGTTGTTCAATCGAATAAATTGTAATCTCAAGTCAGCTCTAAGGCACACATACACAGCGGCGCAGTTGCGTTTGCTGCAGACGACCAAAAGGCAATGTTTTCCAAAATCACTCAAACAGTCTTGCTGATCCCAATGTCCCACATATTGTCTATCAGTTCACTTGCAGTTGCGGTGACGCACACAATGGCAGGACGGATCGTTGCTTGACTCAACGAGTGTCAGAACACATACCCAAATGGCTGTCAAACTTGATGACGCAACCTGCTGGGGCAATACACAACGACGTGAAACCGCCAGCTTCTTCGATTGGAAGACACTTGATTGCATCAGGTCACAAAGTTGACCTGACCCAGTGTTTCAAAGTATTGTTGAGCAATCCAACACCGAAACTATTAGCATTCAGTGAAGCTATTCTAATCATGATGCATCAGCCAGCACTCTCTGCAAAAAAACGATTTACCCAAAATGTTTGTTTACTTTGGCGTTACCACGACAGACTTCACTGTCCCCAACGTACGTACTGTAGCAGCTTTCGATCGTGCCTACTTAACTGTTGTACTTACCCCCCCTACTGTACCATGTATATATACTGACACGTTTTACGTCCACGGTTGACAAGAGTAAACGAAATACTTGCATCTCACGACTTACGTCTTCTCTCTGTTCTCATGAGTTGGATAAAAGGGACCCAATGTTTTAAATTTCTTCAAGATATGTTTTTATTTTCCTCGTTTTTCCAAGCCCTACATTAGCTATTCTTCTGATCGTGTTGCACATTTGGACCGTACAACATTTCTCAGCCGGGGCAGCTCGTCACTTCCCGACTCCCAAAATCGCTTTCTGCAAGCCAGGATTAGATGCCCGTCAACCGTACACAAGGATGAAGAATGATTCGTCCGCTTGAGAGCCGATCATTTATTCGCATCTGCCACTGGTAGCCGAGCATTCTGGTCCCTTGACCAAGCAATCCCTCGCATTTCCCCCTCCCAATTTCCCTCCCACAGGTAAATCCTCTGATCTTCTTGTTGAATCACTCCAGCAAGCAGAGGTGTTTTCTTTAATATTTAGCTTCCTTTCCTACTCCTCCGGTTCCTACTTTCCCCACCCCGTTTCCCCGTTTTCTATCTGATTAGCACTAGCAAGTTCGGCCAAGAGCTGTTTTCTATGGATGTATTCCAACCACCCAGGTCCGGACGCTACACAAATGTGTGCCCTGAATCGGCCTCTTCTCCTACATCGTCTTATCTGTCTCACCCTCCAACATTCTACTTTTCCGATCCCCTGAAAACAAGCCTTCGTCTTCATATTCCCAAAAGTATTCGGAACTATTATTTTCGAACAATTGAGTACTTCCCTAAATCGCAGAAGACTAGTGAGTATTTGCCACTTTACGTTCCGACCACACCGTTCCACTGGTGATGTCCTTGTTGTCGTCTTACACATCTGGTCGACTACAATTGACAACGACGGAGAAACCCACATGGCCTCCCTTGACATCCCTTAAACCTCCGACTGATTTCGACGCGAAGGCCGTCTGGCGAAACTGGCCACGTTCAAATCCTCCTCCACTCGCGTGTCGTGAACATCAAGTTTCCTCATTAGGTGAACCATCTCCATCCCTGTTGATGGGGTTCTGTCTCAGCCGTTCTCTGTGAATGCTAGCGTTCTCCAAGGTTCGGTACTTGAACCCATTTTAGGTCTAATATTTATTATTGGCCATCTATTCACCACTTCTAACTCAATCCATTCCTTTATCGATGACACCTCCTCTCACTTTTCTCCATGATAACAGCAACATTAATCGTAACCGCAGTCCAATTTCATCCTGGGGCTCCAAAGTTGCATTCATTGCTTCCGAATCTCTCTTCCCGAAATTTGTTTGCAGGATCATTCGTTCTCATCTCATTCATACTTTGAATAAACTCTACTGCATTCCATGGATTCTATCCCTCTTCTTAGCTTGTCTAAAATATTTCCTTTCTCTTGGACCGCCTTAATATTTCAGTTTGTTTCTCATGCTTCGCGCGGAGCTGATTTATGTTTCGCGACAGAAACTTCCTCACACCAACTTACCTTCTGTTGCACGAAGCTCAAATCTATCCTGCACTTGAATATCGCAGTCACGTGTGGGGTGGTGCTTTGTCTCCCACCCCACTTGCTTATCTTGATCGGGTTAAACGAAAAGCCATCCGGCTGATCAACGACCCTTCTTTAACTTAGAGTTTGCAGTCGCTAACCGATTCTCGGGTGGCTCTACGTTTTCCCTCTTATACTGGTATTGCTTTGGAGTTGTTAGTCTGAGCTCGCTTTGGCAGTTCTTCTCCCCAGAACATTTTCCCGATCATCAAGTAGAAGGGTAATTAGTCATTCCTAAAAAATGTCTGACAGGAGGTGTTATAATTCAGACTTTCAAACTTCTATTTTCCCCGGACCGTCAACTTAAGGTGCACCACTTTTTTCTGTCTTCCTACCTTCACACAGCCTTTGCTGTTAATCACGTTTCAGCCCCACAAATTTCAACGATTTCCGCAACCTCTCTCTCACCCAAGAAATGCACCGCATTCGTTGAGGGGTCGGTGTTACATACAAAACTGCCAGCTACATCTCCAAAACGGATGTCGACAACCAACAGGGTAAAATAACAAGGGTTTTCAAAGCTACCCGCCAATTGTATTAGTTCCGTTAATATGGGTAAATGTGAATACTAAGGTTGAGATTTGTAACTCATTTGGTTCTATATTGAAGAATGTATTCAGCTTTGGATAAACCGAAGAAAATCATTGAAAGAATAAGGAAAGTGATGGAAGAATCGTACAGAGTGAAATCAAATCGCTCCATGTGGAACCCTTGTTTTCTGTTATCGTGCTATCCGAGACTGTCGTTTGCAAAAGCGTTACTAAAATGCAGAAAAATAATAGTGTAATCCAGTGAAATAAACATGCCATATTCGTTAGAGATGAGAAAACCAGGAGTTCAACGAATATTTTGCAATAAAACATCTGTTGAGACCGAACATCAACTTCCCATGTTGGCCGATGAACTATGTAAAAGAGATGAGTCCAAGTATGTTTATCAAGCTGACTCACCCTCTTCGGGGTTGTTAGGTATTAGGGTGGTTTGATTATCTTCATTGGAGCAGGGAATTCTAATTTCTCCATCTAAGTTGAAGAAGAAGTTCAAAGTATTTAGTTGCGTTGACTATTGTTGTTGAGCACATTGTACATTTTTCTATCTTCAGAACGATCAGACTGTATCACATAATTTGGGGAATTACGAGTAATTCAACAACCATTATTACCAAAATTCTAACAAGACGTACCCTGATTTTTTAAAATTTCAGTCGCTCTTTGACTGGTTTTGCTATCTGCTAAAGCAAAGTTGGAGTCAGATGTAGAAACAATTGAATAACGCGTTATGAATTTTAAATGGGAAATTGGTGATCATACGATATCACATTTGCTCACCTAGGTCACTTGACTGACACTGAATTTGCAGCAGATGCCTTTCATCTATCTCTAAACGATTGTGCAGAATAAAGTGTACACATGATGTTGAATAATTCTCGTTATTTTTTTGGATAACGGTAATTTGCAAGCAAACAAAGACAGAACATGAATTCATTGACTATTTGGTAAATGCTTTTTGAGATCGATTTGTGTCGAAATATCATATATTTTTTCTCCTTGTACGGGGACTTTTAAAATAGCACACTTATTTGATTATGTATTGTAAAATACGAGGGGAAACGCTAGCAGGATTGCTTTCTTTTTCGAATTCGTCGGGTAATTTCCCCAAAGAACATCGTGTGTATGGCGTTATTCACACTTTCCACTACTTGGCAGGTAATCTCACATCCAAAAATAATAAAACCACGCTCTTCACTAATTTCGCTGAAAATATAACGAATCCTTATTGTGCTCTTGATTGTCCTGATACATAAACTGCCACAATTTTCTGGCATAATATTGCTTTTCAGCAGAAACGGTGTCATTATATGCACATGCCATTTTCTGTCGATGTCTCTATTCATGAAAGTCATGAGAGCTAACAAATTTACTTCATTGTACGAACACGTTTTACTCACCGGTGGGTCTAGTATGCTCAAGTTCGCCAGCACATTCCGTGAAAAGGTCCTGTACATTTTTTTCTGTATTTCTTCCCTTGGATTCGTTCACCCATATGTTCACATAAACATTGCGTCCTTCGAAACCCCAAAACCAGTATATGAACAGCCGACTATGGGGCATTTTTTTATTTTGCTCGTTCCTAGAACACCGTTCCATCTGCAGTGTATTGATATAATTGGAAGAAAACGGTAAACCAGTGACTGAGGTACAGAAGATTTTTCCTAAGCTCTTTGTGCTTGCTGATTTCAGATTCAGTCCATCGTCACGCATTCAGCAACTTCTTCCTAATTGTGTGCACCGAATATAGTTTTCATAAGTACCCGTCGGTTACTACTAACAAAGCACAATAAACTCTTAATAATGTTCGAAAAACGAGCAACTCATTTCTAGTGAAATATGTTCTGAATAGCAAACTGCTTCTTGCAAACCATGTTTCCAATAAAAGATCTTTCGAATCTGTTCACAGTATGATTGATACCAAAAACCACTCCGTCGAATGAGAATCACTGTTGATCATTCTCTAAAAGAGCAAACGAAATGTAATGAAACTGTCGCTTGATACTTAAGATATTAATGTTGAACGAATGCACAACATTGAGTTCTCAATTAAAAAACTAGCTGTAAAACGTTTTTAGTCAGATTGTAAACAAACGTTTTCTCACCTTCAATATTATTTGTTTCTTAAAAGACATTTTTTTATCGCTGTGTACTGCAATACTTCCTTCCATACGGAAAGTGTATACGTAAAGGCCTGTCTATAAACTGGTAATCAGTTTGGATATGTCCAATAAACCATGTACTCAAAATAATAGTCATCTACTACAATTATGAACTATGTCAGAGATATCTGGTCTGATTATCAATTCTTTGTTGGAATGTACATTATGAAGACCCTATGGTTTTATAGTCTTGTCAGGTAAGAGAAAGATTTTACAAGTTTATTATGAAGGTACGTAACCGAAGACACCGGAGCACACAGTGGGCAGATACTTACCTACTGCATCGCGTTTTATTGCAGCTCCTGAGGATAAAACAATAATGAGTAATATACCTTCCTAATTCTATTTTTCAATTTGCATAGCCTATTGCAATTTCAGTGCAATTGCAATCCTACCACCTTATTCTCAAAAATTTTGCGCAGTATACTATTTATGGCTACCACATTCATGACATTTAGTCAAGCATTTGGACGAACAACTTACACCCAGTTTGGTATATCACATTAACTGGGTCACTTGGATCAACGAAAAACATGATCTCATTTTGGGCTTCGTTACTTTTGGTTATGATAACTTCCGAGAATCGCGTGCCAAATAACTTGAATTGCTCTTGAATCAACTGATTGAACTTTGTTGCCGAAGCAGATAAACATTGTTCACGAAAATCCGTGCCCATTTCTTTAAGGAAGAAAAATACTTTGATTGTTCCATTCCAGTTCACTTGAAATTCCACTTGACATCCAATATAACCGATCATCCAGTGCCAGTCCATTTTCCAAATAGCCTCGGTAATCTGAAATGTGAAACTTCGTTGATATGATGGCTATAAAGACTGAGTTACTCGCATTATCACAATACAAGCAAAACATTTCTCACTTACCACTTCACAGATGGACGTGGTTTTCATCAAGGTAATGATTTCGTTTAAAGGAAGGTTTACAGATCCGCAATTGGGTATGAAATAATCCATTTCATATTCTGGGTCGTATTGGAAGAGAAAACAGATTTTACGATATTGTCAGGTACCTGAGAGGATGGGATGGGTGGGTCATTTTGATAATAAAAAGATTGACAGAAAATTAATGGTAAAATATGGCTACTCGTAGGATAACCTCACCCAGTATATGACCTTTCAAGGTGTCTGTAACAACATAAAAATGGAGAAGTCATTTGGTGTTCGACACGGATTAGAAGTAAGAATCAATAATGAATTCATACTCACATATGGCCTCTGCATACTTCGTCATGCGCAAATATTCAAGGTAAACGATAAGCCATACACCAAATGAAGATCTCATAGTAGAATAAAATTCCTGACCCACGAGAGAAAACTCGCAGTGTTCAGACGGCACAGACTACCTTGTGTATGCACTTGGTACCCTTCTTATAAGCACCATAATTCAATTTAACAGTACAGACACACCAGCCGACTAATCTGTCAACTGTTGCAACGGCTGTTGTCCATTAACGCCTACCATTTAACAGTAGAGACACACGAACCGACTAGTCTATCCACTGCTGTAACAGATGTTATCGGTTTACGCCTACCAGAATAGCAGAATATCAGACGAATCATGGTGCGCAAACTGACCTGGTTGGAAGCACGTTCAACATTCCATCGAAAACGTGTCTGAATAATCATTTGGAATCAGTGCTCCTGCACCCTTTGTTTACAGAATGGAAAGCAGAAAATACCTGACGTCAATAACATGAGTGGAGGAATTCTCCGAAAGTAGTCGAACCGTGTGATGAACTGTCATGAACATGGACAATAAAACTACTTCAAGCAAATACGAGAATTACATGAGTTGAATTAGTTGAATCTTTCTCCGTTTTGACAGGTAGCGTTTTATTATAATTTACAAACTGAGTAAGAAATTATCAATAAATAAAAAAACGTTACTGATACCATTCACTTATTGTCTAATTGAGTAATCATCATTATTTGAAAAACAAGAAATTACATTTACTAATGTTCAGTAATCTATGAGAGAAATCGAACAGCTTTGAAACATATTCACGTATGATAAATTATGTATACTGTTCATATGTAAACATGTCCACTGAAACTGGACCTGCAATTCATACTTCATAGAAATGTAATCAAAAGTCCCTGGTAACTCCTTGTCACCAAGAATCTACCTAAGCTAAGCATCCGATTTTGACTTTATATATATACAGTATGAAAAGAAATACTGAGCAGAAATTCATGCAGACACAGTTCTTTTGTATTTCACCCATTCAATATTTCCCTTTAAAAAATTGATAATGCTTGTGAAGGCAAATACAGCTGATGGAATACTATAAATTTCATGAATTTCTTATTCGATATTCAGTTTCAGTCAAAGTCATCCCTAACCTTATATTTTATGAGCTCGTCAAGCATTTTAGGTGGGCCGCGTCTTTTTTCATCTTCATAACTCCTTTTACCGAAACTCCAACAGAGTGTTTCATAGTGCAGTGCTCAAGCCCCTGGAATATTATCGGACCTAATATAATCAAAACCGATAGCTACTGTCATCATCCAGGCATTAGTTTGGCTTTGATTACCATACAGCATAGTTTTAGTTATTCTAGTCAATTCAGTGAAACCCCTCGGTATCTGAAAATTATCAGGCTCATTATGATTCAACTTTTGACCATTACTACTGTAACGAGCATACCTTTGCTTTGGAAACACCTACTGGAGGACCATTATAATTTACAGCGTATCATTTATTTGCTCACTAAAGATTAACCATGTTGATGACTATGGTTCACGTTAAGGGTTAACCTGCAACTAGCATGTATTTTTCAGATCCGTGGCCCTCATCTCGCAACCACATCGGATTTTACCTGCAAAACTCCGGCGGAATCAATTATCTTCAGTGCAAGCCATGGATTCAGATGTAAGAAATCGGGTAAGGATCAAGTAAACGAAATACAAGGTCTCACTCACCTCAGAAAAGTGTTTGTTTCTTGAACAGGATTGAACTGGCATGATCACTGCTAATAAGATACCAAATTTCGTTTGAACGACGCTATATGGGAGTTTGTTGGTTGATAAACAGTGAAGTTTCTTGATACCCGATCTCTTCCAACATCCCCAAGCAAAACATATTGGACAAGACTCCATGACGAAGTGGAATACGAACCACTGTAGTAATGATCACAATTTTAAGTGATGTAAAACAATGAGGAAGAACTCATGCGCACAATTTGACAAATGCATCAATGGACTACTTCAACCATGATAACCCACTTGCCCAACAAACAACACCACCAAAGGCTATCCGCTTCTTCATAGAATGACTTGGATTAAACAGTGGTCGTAAAGAACATGAATCAGGAATTACTTCTGTGTTTGGTTGTACCTACACGAATAAGACAAGAATTAGCTGTAACAACCCCAAACAGATATGGCCACGCCCATCTCTATCGGGGTAAGTATTACTTCTCGCTAGGTTTATTCTTCTCGTCTTCACAGGTCGTGTACGTACAAACACCACGAAAGAAAAGCGCAATTGGCATATTACATTTTTGACAACCCTGGTAACGGGACCGAGTAAAATGTGGGGTCTGTTTGGTTGAGTGATTGAGGCATTTTGTGGACACCAGTGATCGACATTCATCGCCATCTCACTACAGTAGTATAAATGGTCTTTCCAAAAGTCAGTCAATCACGATGTTCTGCGGAAAACTTGTATCATCATGCAACCTTGGAATTCAGGGTGGCAAGTATATACCGAAACCAGAGCACGGAATTTCGGGGTTGATGACCGCAAGACGAAATGAACGAGTTAGATTATTTATTTCCTCATCCAACAAATGCCTATTGCAGGCGAAATCTTCTGGTTAAACAATGGTGACAGTTTTCACTGAATACTGTGATTTTCTATTAGAAGACAAATTATGTGAAGCACAATAGGAAGGAAAAAACTCAGTGGTGTATTGGACTTAGTGGACAATAAGTTTGAGTGAAGCATTCCCCTGAATTTCACTCATTGAAGTATTTCAGGCGAGAACGGTTTAAGCAAAACAAACGAAGAATTTCACGCTACTGATATGTAGTAGGCAGAGGCTGTTCATGTGGTAAAATTGCAACCGAATATATGAGCGCTCTCATGAAAGCACTGAAGAGATATCTCAGACAGCCAGATGAATTCAGACGACTTGTATATTGATCCCCAAATGGCTCTCAATTTCCGATCCCATCTGATAAAACCAATATATTTGTTTGAAATCAACCTTTGCTGGTTTACATTGTAGGTCTTTACGAAAGTAACTTCCTTCGGGTTCAGAAAAAAACGGAATAGGGAGAAAGAGTTTTCGCGATCACGGTGGTAGAACATGCATCATCCTGCAATTTCAACCTCGAAGTTTCGGACTAAATTCCAGTCACCACCAGTCCCTTACTATGTCCGTAGCTGTTGACTAAAAGCCTTCCCTTTCCACGAATATTGCACATTTCTGTGTAATAAATAAGCAGATACAAGTGATTATTCATTTGCCTGAATCAATTCGTATAGATAGAGGGATTCATTCTTTTCATAAATCCATCGAGCTAGACAGGTGCATTCGTAGATTCATGAACAACTTGAATGTCTTGTATTACCAACGAAACTGTTTTTCAGAGCCTGCAGTGCTATTTAAATAGGAGGTTTGCCGTACCCATCTTGCGTATTCGATATGAAGTGACCAGAATCTAAAGAGATATTAACGTTGCAAATTAATAAAACATGCTAAATGTCCTAAAACGTTTAGACAAGCGTGCCGGAACGATCATTTACAGCAGGCAAGATGATTTTAAGTAGATGACTGCACTGAATTAGAAAAAAACGGGAGCATACCAAGAAAAGGGATAAAAAATAAATATTCAGATAGCTAACATAAGGAATTACCAACACATTTTCTAGAGACGTTGTTGGGCCGACTATAATCATCTCCAATCATAAATCTCCGCGTAATGGTTGATCTTCAGTTTGTTTTCATGTCAGATAAATGTCATTCCTCTCTATATTAAGTTTACACATGCTACGGCTATCGTTATTGAAAGCATTCGGTTTTTCTTTTGTCCGTAGCTGTGGAGACATCATCCTTAACGGAAATTGTATGCCACGTGATAATTATTCAAAATAAAGTATCTAGTCGGATTTCCGTCGTTCGTGTACAACCGGACGAAATAGAATCTGCTGGTAGAAACCAATATTCCAAAGATGAGAATCCGTCGAGAAGCGCGTATTGAGGATTGATCCAGACAAAGGAGAGTTGAAATGTTCCACAATGCCTTCTCCTAGACAGGTGCATTCGTAGATTCATAAGCAACCTGAATGTCTAATATTACCAACGAAACTGTTTTTCAGAGCCTGGAGTGCTATTTGAAAAGGGGATTTGCCGTACCAATCTTGCATGTTCGGTGTTATTTTTGTAAATTTACAAAACTTGCTGAAAGTCCTAAAGCTTTTAGACAAGCGTGCCGGAACGGCCATTTACAGTAGGAAAGATGGTATTAAATAGTTGACTGCACTGATTTATAAAAAATGGATTTCACGGAAAAAGGGGATAACAAATAAATATTCAGACCACTGAGATGAGGAAATATCAGTCAATTTTCTTTTAAACGTTTCCTCATTCCTATAACAAAGTATCAGCTTAACATACGTTCCTATTACAAAAACCTTCATGCGCGCACCAGCGACATACAGCAATTCTACCATTCCTCATCTGGCAAGTCGTTCACACAATCCAGCTTCTACGCTGTCAGACCTAACACAGGATTTGAAATAGCACAACTGATTACTACTTAGTAATTCTGTGCTTTATTTCGTTTTTCGTTGTAATATTTCTGCGTTTTTGAAGACGGGTAAACATTTATGTGAAATCTGAATGTTCACTCCTGGTGGTGCCTGAAGCAATTATTCGACTTGA